GGCATCCCCGGGCCGGGCGCGTGCCTCGGCGAGAAGAAAATCGCGCAGAAAAGCTTCCTCAGCCCAGTCCGGCGTTGTGAGGGTGGTGGCGGAAGGGTTGTCTCTGTGTGCGCGTTTATATCGCTTCTTGCGCGGATTCGATTGAAAGACCACCGTGTTATCCTTCTAGGCAAGACACCTGTATATTTGTGACTTCCATAAAAACTTAATTCAGAGCGTGAGAAATAGAAGAAAGAGGAAAGGCAGCGATGATGATGGCGATTCACCGGTGCAAGACATCGACACTCCAGAGGTAGCTAAACAGTTTGCTCTTTTTCCTAACTGTTGTGTTAAGCTAACGACTGCAGTTCTCCACCCTTGCAGATCCCCTGATTTTGGGGCTGTCGGGAAAGGGAAGACTCATGCTTCACTCAGTTCTTCGCATAATAAAATAATTTTACGCTGTATCTTCTGTATTAATTGTGCAGAGCAGAGCAAACAAGATTCTCTAGTTTAGGTGTCTGCTAGTTCTCTGAGAAAATTGCTATTTTCAACTTTAACCTTCTTAGTGCTTCGTCTCCAGAGTGGTGCTTTGCCTGCATATGGGGAAACTGTCTTCTGCGGGAGCTGACAACTTGAAGGGATTTGCACACAGGCCGTGGGGGTATGAACGCTTCACTGCCCCGTCCCTCCGACCCTTTCCTTCTGTGCTGAATGTGCTACAGATTGCTCTTGGAGTTACTCTGTTGCCTCAGCCTAACCAGGAAAGTTGGTGGCCTTTTGTTTCTATCCCTTGTTGGGTGAAGATACGCCCTGTGCTACTAAGGAGAGGGCAAGGACGCTGCTTTTCTGACCTGTTTTCTCCACTGCAGACCAGTGAAACCTCAGGGTTATAAAAGTGAACGGCAGCTTTCAAACCTTTTGCGTAGTATAGTGGGAGTGACTGCACCTAGGAGTGGGTTTTTTTTTTTTTCCTACGTGTGTTCTGAATTATATCTGCTCCAGCCTGGGTTAGCAGGTGCTGCCCAGTGTGTTAATTTTGAGCAGGGGCTGTCATGCCTACCTGGTCCCTTCTAAAGAGGATTTTTTTTTTTAAAACATTCTTCTGAAATTGCTCCGTGTTAATTTAACGGCATCCTTGTGGTCAGCATCTGCAGATAGCAGCAGCAGCATAAGCGATGAAACTTTGTGCAAGAACCCTTGCCCAAAGGCACGTGGCTCCAGTCTTGAAGGCTCTGACTAAGAGGATTTTAAGGGGTTTAGGAGTAGTTTGATGCTGGGCTGTGGTGTTTGTTAAATATGTGGGATTGCTCTGTGTGACTTCAGGTAGCTGTCTGGCGCAGTGGTAATCGCAGCTCTCCTGCAAGCCTGTATTGTTTTCTCATGCAAGAATTATAAAGCGTGTCAGAACCGATGGATATATCCAGAACAAGAAAGCAAGTTCTTTTTTTTATGATACTGCTGCAGGAAAGAAAACTGCCTGGGAAGCATTTTGGCTGTTTGGACAATAGCAATATGTTCATCCCATGTGATTACTGTATATCTTAGATTCCCATTGGCCCTTGATGTTCTTTATTTTCAATTTTTTTAATTTTCCATTTTACTTAGAGGGAAAAAAAAAGGTATAATTATTCTGAAGACTTGTGAGGGCACTCCCTTTTCCATCTCAGTCATGACCATCATTACCTGTCAGAAGTAATTCCTACAGGAGAGGAAGGGGCTGCTGCAGTACTAGTAGCTTTTGGGACTTGCTGGAAAGCTACTACTACTCTTCTGTGTGAAGCTCTAGGGTGTGGGTTCTCCACTGTCACTTGGGAAGTGGAATTTGTGTAAACTTCAGAATGCTAAAGGATGCTCATCCTTTTATCATGCAAGACAACATTGCAGCAAGCCTGGCCAGGTTACCGGGTATGCAGTAGCACTGCTGTTGTATTCTACAGTCAGCTTGAATTTAAAGCCAAAGTGAATGCCTTAACCAGTCTTTAATGCAGTATGTTTACTAGTGTAATTGCAACTGATCTAGCAGAATTTCTGCTTTCACAGCTTGCTTTTCCACTCGGTCGTCTGATTCAGCTCTCTTACGCTGTCAAGGAGGGTGGGAGGGTAAGCAGTTGCTGGAAGAAGTGACTGTTGATCAGGGTTTGCAGGATTCAAACCTGAGTGAATATTGGGTTAAGGTTGTGTATTTGTATCCGTAAGAGGACCTTGTGCAACGCTCTCAACTGTCAACTTGCGCTGAAAAGTAGTTTTGGACAACTGTGCCCGTGCACATAACTCCTGCATTGTGCTTATGTAGCAGGGATATGTTTGGAGAGCAAGAGAGCTGTTTTCTCACCTCAAGCCGAGAAAACTTTGTGCTCTAGGCTTCCCGGATCCCGCTGTTTGCTATCTCATGCTGCAGATGTGTTTGTCTTGCATGTAGCTTGTGTACAGTTTGATGGCCGAAATCACATTATAGGGGCCTCCTTTGAATCAGCATCTTCGTTGATGTCATATGAAAGTTGTTACTGGGCTTTGTTACCGTGCTTGTGCTGAGGAACAAACAAAAGAACCCAGAGCTTACTGAAATACAGTAATGAGTTCCGAATACTGCCCATAGCTAGAGGGAGGTGAAGCCGTGCTTGGCAACGGTAAATGCTCTTGGGCAAGCTGGGCTGTTTTCCTTTCTGCTGGAAGGTGTAGGGTGGAGTTTGGTTTTTGTCAAAATGAGATTTGCGAAGCTGATGGTTTACGCTTACGGATCTGTGAGATTCCAAAATGGTGTTGATAGGTGAACTATTAATGACTGAACCCTTTTCAGTTACACAAGATTGTTTTCCTCCCCTTCCCCTCCCCCATTTCCTTCTAGGTTGATTTATATCAGTTACAAGTAAACACACTGAGAAGGTACAAAAGACACTTCAAGCTACAGACCAGACCGGGACTTAACAAAGCACAGCTCGTTGAAGTACGTATGAGTGTTCGTTCCGTGGTAGAAAACTCAACTTGCTATGGCATGTGGTTTTCCAGACAGTGTGACCCTTGCACGAAGTGCCTGTGTAATCTGGATTTTTAGAAGCACAAAAGGGAACTGCTTATCTAGCTTCCTGTATTGGCCACAGCTCCTGTGCCAAGTAAACCAAAAGCTCTTTCCAGAGGAGGGACCCTTAACTTCCAAAAGGGGTGTGTGCTGCTTAAAAACACAAACTATTGAGTTGGAACAGTAAAGATGATCTGTATGTCCCTGAAGGTCATAGAATCATGGATTTATAGTCACACCCTCACCTGAAGAGTTCTGCTGAGAAGAACTAGAAGCTGAGAGGTGGCAGTGAAGTTGTTGCAAGGTTCATTCAAGCTTTGCTTTAAAAAGCTTGTTAATACAAACACAGGTGTTTCTGTGTATGGAAACCTGAAAAACAGGCTTCTGTTGATCATTATGTTAAAACCACTGGGATCTGTCACCAGAAAAATGGAACTTTATGAAGTTTGGTATTTTCTTATCAATATTTCTAAAAGTGCTGAAGCTGTATGCAAGTAGCTTTGCTACACGAGTGTAATCTTAGAGGAATTCTGCACTGCAAAGATGCAGTTACAGCATGCTGATGTAAATATGTGGGAGAGCCTGGTGATCCTCTCTTAACAGGGAGGTCGAGCTACTCTCTTTCACTTCTGTGCAGTGACACCCTCGGTTGTGCTTCGGTGCAGAGCTTTCGTTGGTCTCTCCCTTAATCTGTGTGCATTAAAGGCAAGGTTCTGAAACATGTGGGAGATCTCAAGGCTGCGCTGTAAAAGCACAATGCTGCTGCCACTACGAGTAAGAATGTAAAATCAGCCTTATGTTTTTGTACATGAGAGCTGAGATACAGCTAGCTCTTGAAATAGCAGGGCTGTGACCTGAAAAAGCACAAGCACTTTTTGTTCTGCAAGTCTTTCTAAGGGTCTTACTTAGGTACATCTCGTGAGGCTCTTGTGCTAGCTTCTGCTCCTGACGCTGCTGGATGCAAACAGGTAAAGCTTCCTCTGTCGTGTGCCTTGTTCGACCTGCAGGTCTTGATGAGCCATAGACGCAGAGCTTAAGTTTCCAGTGCATGTGATTCCTTGTAACCTGTCCTAGTGTACAGTACCACTCCTCTAGCTGTTACTTAAAGCCCCCTTCAGAGGACTCTGCCAAACTGTTTCTCTGTGAAACTTTTTGGGGTGGTTTTTTGAAAGCTTTCTAACTTGCTCATTAGGCTAAACATTCACACTTACATTCTGTGGTAGTTAAACGAGCAGTCTCCTGTTTCTTTCTTGCTAATTTTAACCTATTCTGCAAAAAGCCGGAGAATCTACTCGGGCAGGTGTAATATTTTGCATGCTTGCTTTTAAAGCTGGTGTTCCTTTTGATGAAGGGAAAGACTTCTGGGATGAGAAGCGATCTGTTGAGAGACCATCATATTTTAGTGGTTGCAGCATGGTGACTTTTCATCGATGGCTCTGCTTTGAAGAGCCAACCCTTCAGTTACACTTCTCAAAGATTTGTGTATTATCTTAGGTGTTTCTATACATGATTTCACACTGACACACACCAACCTGAGTAATGAGCAGTAGCCTCTAATTTCTGTGCTGTAGCTCTGTTGATGCTCTGTAGTCATTACTTGCTTTACTCAAGCTTTAACTACACAGATACTCCTATGCTTGTTTTGAGAATTATGGGGTTTTTCCCACCCTCAGGTGGGCTGGCGGCATTTGCTGTAAAAACAGATCAGTGATAGGGCTCCATCTCTTTTTACTTAGGAAATTTGGGTACAATCTGCTATATTAAGTTTATAGTTCTCAGTAAAATGGTTCCTGTCGTCTTGGTTTACGCCTGGTAAAGACTTTTGAAGAGACGTAGCTTTTACTCTTTTTTTTTAAGCTTCTTGATCACTTTTAAACTTTAATATAGTTGATTTAAATCTGAATCTTCAGTTTCTGCATACAAGAGTGGTTATTTAATTTCCTTGTCTTCTTCCTTCATAGATAATTGGCTGCCATTTTAGGACAATTCCAGTGAATGAAAAGGACACCTTAACATATTTCATCTACTCGGTGAAGAATGACAAGAACAAACCAGATCTAAAGATGGATAGTGGGGTTCATTAGATGGAAAAGGTTGGGACTGAGACTCAGGCTGCAAATCAAAAGACTGAGGGTTTTTGTTGATATGCAAAAGCTTTCTTTGTAACTTTTTCTTCCCAGAGAATATGTCTCTTTTATTTTTCATAACATTGCTGATTTGTTTGAAAACCATCTCTTATGAAGCAAATTTCCTCAGCAAAAGTATTTTAAATAAATATCACTCATATTGTGCTCAAGTGGGTGTGTCTAACTTATTGAGTTACTTGTACCCAGTAGTTACGCTTTGGCTAAATATGTGATAATATTTGAATGTTTTTCAATTAAAGTGTCCAAGGATATATGTATGAATGTACTCATGGATGCAATGCCTTTAAAAAAAAAAAAAAAGCTGTAGCAGACTTGGCAGTAAGTTCTTTTTCCTGAGGTAGAAGGCTCTAAGTGACAGTTTCAGTTGTTAGCTAGGGAGCAGTGGCTGAATAATATTTTCCCCTTTGGAAACAAGAATTGATGGGGGCTTTTCCAATTTGTTTATTCACCTTGTCATGGCTGGGATATGTGCTTCCAAGCACCAAGGCCTTCCTGCTCCAGTATTAAAATGGAAAAAAAAGAAACGCAGGTCTCGTATTACAAAGCTGCAAGTGTGGATGGAAGGAGTGGTGCAGCTTACTCTGCTGAGAAATCGTTCCACTCGCCAAGCCGTCCGTCGGCTGCTGACTTCTCCATGCCTCTGCGTAGACTGCGACTGAGAACTTGATGGGAGAACGGAAGACGGAGTCTCTGCGGGGTTAGTACAGTATCTCCAAATAGGCATACTGTTCCTTTTTCCTTGCATGCGTTCACTCAGGCCTGTTAACAAAAAAACCTCGCACAAAAAACCCACTTACGATAACACATGAAAAAAATACCCAGCCATACTTCTGCTCTGAACTGAATACTTCAGTGAATCTGATGCTGACGATGATACTATGCATTGCTTCCTGCGCTGTCATTTAACTGTTGTGCCAGTCCAAATGTGTGGTGCACGGAATATAATCTCTTTCTGCTTCAAGCTGCGTACATAGGCTGAAGAACTGGCAGAGGGAGAAGACTTCTCATCTTGAAGGGGAGGAGGATGTGACTTCAGCTTCTTCAGTCGGTATTTGTTGCAACTCAACCTTATCAGGTGGTTAAAAGCTTTTTCTTAATTTGGGAAAAATGAGAAATCAGTATTTGTGTTATAATCTCTTTGAGGTGAGTTTTTTGAAAACTACTGCTTTGGTATCATTGCCACTAGGACACTCTGCTTTGCTTTTTTGACCTGTCATACTTGCATAGAACTGAATGGTGATAAACCCTAACCTCAGTCTGGCTGCCTTCCCTTTAGCTCTCAGTGACCTGATTTCTTTCACTTGCAGTGAAACTTGCAGTCTTCCATACTTCCACAATAAAGTTCTGTGAAGCTGGCCTAACACCAAGACGGTTAGTGATACCTAGCTAGCGGCAGCTAGAACTGGCATTCCTTTGAAGAGATGTTTAAATGCCTGTGTCGCTACAGTGACTGTACAGTTGATTGCTAAATACTGTGGGTACGGTGTCAGCTCGTTATCTTTGGCGTACGAGTTGGTGAAGCAACCAGGGAACCTGGCTGCGGATAACACGTCTGAAAGAGAAAGGCTTTTCCTCCAAGTGCATGGCAGGGGTGAGTGTTCTCACCTCAGCCTGGCAGGACTTGTGGAAGAAGCTGTGGGAGGGAAGGAGGGTGGGGAGAGAAACAGCAGCAAGTTTTTGTGGGAAGTAGTAGCCTAACTCACCCCATCCTGCTGCGTGTGGAGAGTGGCAACGATTTTCTCAGTTGATTATCATAGAATCACAGGCTGGTTTGGGTTGGAAGGGACCTTAAAGACCACCCAGTTCCAACCCCCCTGCCATGGGCAGGGACACCTTCCACTAGACCAGGTTAGCCACGAGTGGTGGAAGGAAAGTAACTGAAAATCACCTACTAGCTTCATTACCCAGATTTGCATCTGCCTTCAGGGTTTTTTTTGCTACTGCTGCTTTGGAAAGCTCTGAATGCCAGCATAATGCAACATGGTTCGTGTAGAAGCTGGATGGCACAACCCACAGAAGTTGTGCACCCTTATTGCTGCGGGAAGCTTACAGAGGGTTTTCAAGATACTGTCTGTTTCCTTAGTAGGACGCTGACTTTGGATATTTTGACTGTAGGCTGCCAAATTTGTGGGGTTTTGGTTTTTACCCTTCACTGATGATTTGGTAGGAAGCCCAAGTGACTTTGGAATAATTACAAAAAGCAGGTTTAAAAAGCCCAGTAATGCAAACCGTTTAACAATCGGTATTCTCAGAATTACTTGGCAAAAAAATAATACATGCAGATTTACTTGAAACATTTATTATTAGCTATAATAATAAATCCCCCACTAGCCGACCCTTGTTTGCTAACCGAGGAAGAAACACAGTCGTCATGGTATTTCCTACTGCCTGTGAAATAAGTCTGGGCAGCTGGTGGGAGCAGTTTTCAGGGTGTGAGACTGTTAGGTGAACAGAACGCTTGTTGAGTGGAAGACTAAAGAGTTACTGAAGTACCATACGGCTTCCGCGTGGCTGAATGACAGCTGACGTTTTTGTATGCAAGGCAATAAGCCTTACATATGTGTTCAGCTGGTTTTCCTTAAACTTAGGAAGAGGCAAGTTTTTGGCTGTTTTGTACTGCAGTCGGTATTGAGAGGCGGCAGTATGTCTACAGCCTCGATTGTACCTCTTCAACATTAAGGTGATTACCTCTAATATTTTGAGATACCTCTCTGGCTTCACTTCCCTAGCTATTTCCTTACAGGGCTAGCCTAAAAACTAAAAAAAAAAAGCCTGCATTTTAACTAAATTCTGGGGTACTGTATTTAAAACAAGGCTTGATTTAAAAAGCTGCTTATGTGTGGATTTTTATCTTGCCTTAACAGCTCTTGCATCAGTCTCATCCTCTTCAGACATATTTCTGAAAATATCTATTCACACTATTGTAACTGTTCTAGTATTTTAAATGTTCAGTGTTAAGATTAAGCAATTTTAGGTTTTACAGGTTGCATAGTTAATGCAGGTGACCAGTTACACATAATTAAGACAGAACTGTGATTTAGTACTATTAATGTGAGTTTTGATTTTTTTTTTCTTTTCCTGCCCAGTGGGGTTTTCAGTTATGAATGGTGAAAGTTTGCCTTTTGTGTGTGCAGGTATTTTAAGATGCCTAAATAGAACATGGGAGCCTGTCTGCCCAGGTGTCAGGGACCGAGTACCTTCAGCTTAAACCAACATTAACTCTCTGGCAATAAAGCAATAGAATCATGGAATGGTTTGGGTTGGAAGGGACCTCAAAGACCATCCAGTTCCAACCCCCTGCCATGGGCAGGGACACCTTCCACTAGACCAGGTTGCTCCAAGCCTCATCCAGCCTGGCCTTGGACACTTCCAGGGATGGGGCATCCACAGCTTCTCTGGGCAACCTGTCCTAGTGCCTCCCCCCCCTCTCCGGGAAGAACTTCTTCCTGATAGCCAATCTAACCCTCCCCACTTTCAATTTAACCCCGTTACCCCTTGTCCTGTCACTACAGGCCCTTGGGAAAAGTCCCCCCCAGCCTCCTTGTAGGCCCTTCAGGCACTGGAAGGTGCCATAAGGTCTCCCCGGAGCAAAGCTGCGCTGCTGCAGTTTGCTGTGAGAGTCACGTTCCTAATGACGTGACAGCTTAGGCGAAGTTCTTCATCCAAACTAGTTGAGAATGTTGTTCTGAGTAACAGGGGTTAGGATTATGCTGCAAGATGCTTTAAGAGCTTGTACCATCTTTTACACCGTTACGGAAATTGTCAGCTACCGAAAGGAGACCTTCTTATGTATTTGAGATTCCAAAAAAGGTATAGAAAAGAAAATTCTACAGTGGAAAAAGAGTCCCTGTTTTGAGGTTAGAAGGGAAGGGGTTTTTTGTTGGTAGTGGTTTTGTTTTTCACCTTGCAAGTATTATGGAATGATTGTAGAATGTCTGTTGTCTCCACCAGCACGCTTGATGTCCCTCACTGACTGTTGCAGGGGATCACAAAAGATATCTTTGGTCCAAAGAAAATATCCCTGAAAGATAAACATCAGATATTGAGATAATTAGACAATTGGTTTATCAGAACTTCAATGTGATGTGCCTTTCCAGTTGTGGAATGTTTTATGTTATTGTGGGATGTATGAGGGATTACTGTGTTTGTGGGATGCCCTTCCAGCAATGCAAATGTGACTGTGGGTCGGGGTGAAGAGACTGCCTTTCTACCCCTGCTAACCTGGTTTGGAAGTGATTCATTGACTGACCAGAGTGCTAGGACTCCACCCTGGGCTTCTAGCTTGGAGAAAGTAAATTTACCAAGTACATAGAATCATAGAATGGTTTGGGTTGGAAGGGACCTTAAAGACCATCCAGTTCCAACCCCCCTGCCATGGGCAGGGACACCTTCCACTAGACCAGGCTGCTCCAAGCCTCATCCAGCCTGGCCTTGAAGACAGCCAGGAATGGGGCATAATATTATAAAAGTAAAGAACTTCGGCATGTGCACACGTATGGTTTAGTGCAATTTGTCCCAAGGGCAGACCTTTAAAGTAGGTCTTCCATGCCTCAAGGTGGTCGAAGGAAGACCTCCTTAGGTATTTCTGCCTAAGTAAGAAGCTTTATTAGGCTGCTCAACACCCAGAGGCTGAAGCTGGAAACCCAAACTGTGCTTCAGGTTGAGGACACCATATCTGGTTTTAGGGAGAGTGAAACATGAAAAAACTTACTCAGACTGAAAGAAGAGTTTAAATGTGAGGTGTCTAACTTCAGAAGTCATTCCCCCTTGGTTCAAACCTGGTACCCTATGGGAGTGCTGAAAAGTTGCCTTTTATTAGATTTTAGGGGACTTGAGAAACTTGGGTGGTAAGAGCTACGACAGTAAAAGTCTTTTTTGACTTGCCTGTATAATGCCATCACGTTTAAGTGTCCTGAAGTATTAGTTAAGTTTTGAAT